CTGTGGTGAGGGAGAATCGCGTGCCTTCGGCTTTGATCGGAATGATTGCGTTGAGTCGGCAGGCGCACACAAAGATTAGTTCGCTCGCGGGACAGGCCCCATTTACGAGAAAAACGTCCTTTTCAAACACAGCGAAATATCAACAGGGGCACTTGTAGTTCGCACTCGCATCTCTACCTGTGATTACGTTTTGTGCGTCGTTTTTTGTTTTGACAGTGCGTTAAGTGTCGATCTGTACACGTTGTCTGTTGGCTCTCGTCCTGTGTGTGTTGTTTTCGTGCGTCAATTGTGCGTGAGCAGCGTGCTGCACGTTTCAATCTGCTTGTCGTTCTCAGCGTTGCATTCCAAGTTGTTGCTATCGCATTCATTGCTTCGCCCTTGTGGCGAAGCTGTGAACTTTTTTTATATTCATACGTAAGCTGAAAGTAGCAGTTCTTTCGTGCACGAATACAACTGTAGTGCCATCATCACCATCATCATTTCTCAATCACCGCGCCGCGCCTCTCGCGCAGCTGATGCTAGCTCGAGCTGCGCGAGGATTAGAACGAGCTCACGCACCTGGCGCGTCGGACGGGGACAGCTACCGCGGCTCGGCTTCGGGCGTGGAATAAAGTGGCGCGATCGGCACGGCCCCGTCGGCTGCCTACGACGCCGTCTCACGTCTGTTTTCTCTCGCCGCTACATTGGTGACCCGGAGAATACGCCCTTCGCCGAGCCGCCCGCTGCCATGTTCCCGCAACTCTGCCCGCCAGTGCCGCCGTTCCAATCGACCTACCCCAAGGTATGGTTCATGCAGCTCGATGCCGTTCTGGCGTTGAATGGCGTCACGGACCAGCCGCTGATGCACGCCATTCTTCAAGACGCCCTTCCGGTAGAGTTGCGTCATCTCTCTGGCACTTCAACCTCCAGCCAGCAGCCTTACGATGACCTCTGCTCTGCGGTGCTTGCCAGCCACGGCCTCACCTACCACCCGCTGCCGTTCACCCGCGACTTACAGGTTTCGTCTGCGTCGCAGCGTGCGGTACCCTCCGACCCGAAAGTCTTCACTGACCGGGACCTAACTTCCCCGACTACGTCTCCTACAACATCTCGTCCGGCCACTATCAACGCGAGTCCCGCGTACGAATGCCCATCCGACGAGGTTCAGAACATTCGTGCTGCACGCGACCAGTCAGCCACGAAATGCGACGAGCTTCTTCAATACGTTCCTGTAGCCAACGACCGGGTCGCCACGAGGTGCATTTTTTCGAAGTCCTCGGCCGATTGTCCCTCGGGCACTCTCGCCACCCGCATGTCTTCTCCGGCCTACAGAGACCACGATTTCTCAGACATGTTAGACTCCACGACGGCTTCATCGCCGCATGCCCCGGAGTCGGCCAAGACTTCGGATATCCTCACGCTCACTATTCGCCCCTTGGTCGCGGAGACTTCAGCGTCGACGATGTCCGAAGGCGCCTCCCCACCCACCTAGACGCTCTCTGCGTCCTGCCAGCAGCGACCATCTTCAGCCCCGCAGTCTCCCGCAGCCGAAGTTAAAGTCATAAGCCGTCAACCACAGCCAAACTTCTAAGAGGCTGCGACTATGACTGACGCAGCTGAGGACGACGTACCTGGCGCGCCTATGGCACTGCAGACTACATATGCCACACATGCTGTAGAGGTTGTCATCGATCATGCAGACCTGCACACCAACCCTCATGCGCGGATAACCGATGGTCTTTCAGGTGTGCCACCCAATCCTCCATCAAAGCTGACGTCTTCTGAGCTTCACAACTATTCCCCAGAGCATTTGGCGCCGGATGCAGTCCGTCACACAGGCTCGTTGGTAACAACAGCGACGACGTGCGGTCCAACTGCATATCTGCCGCCCTTGATAGTATGCCAACGAAACTGTCACGTTCGGCATAGTACAGAGAGGCCCTTTTTCAAGCCTCTTGCTAAACAGTCATGTGTTGCAGCCTTGGCCTTCAAGACGGCTCAAACACCTACGAGGTTTTCCCGACGCAAGGGCCAACCACTTGCCGTGCACATGACTAGCCGCAATGCATGGCGTTTCCGCATCCGTCGACTCGGCCACACGCCCCGGCATGCCGGTCGCAGTGCTACGCGGAGGCCGGTGTTTCATTGACAGAGACGTCCGCACCAGCACGACCGCGACGCTGCTCCTTGTCGACAGCATGCTCGGCACCCTGTGCGCTGTCCGAGACCCCGCTGTGGCTGTGAAACTTCAGTGCTCGGTCATCATGGGTGCGTTCCGATCCTTCACACTATTTCGCCCACATTGCCGGCGCGAGCTCTTCAGCGCCTGTTTACAGTTCCAGCTGTGGACACGTTTGTCAGCCGCGTCCACTCGAAACGGCGGGAGCGCATTCGAATGGTCCCGCCGCGTAATTGTGGGATGGACGTGTCTATGAGCACAGCGTCCCGGCACTTCCTTCTTCGTCCCTTGCGCTTCTCCCAGAGTCGCCCACCGGAGACACACTGCCTACTGATGGCCCATAAACGTTGACAACCTGGACTTGCCAAATGAACACTTTATGCATTGCCGTTCATGTATATAGCATTTGTCGCTCTCTTTCTTTTTCATACGCCTTCAAATCGCGCAAAGCGCTAAGGGGGGAGCCCTGTAGTGCCATCATCACCATCATCATTTCTCAATCACCGCGCCGCGCCTCTCGCGCAGCTGGTGCTAGCTCGAGCTGCGCGAGGATTAGAACGAGCTCACGCACCTGGCGCGTCGGACGGGGACAGCTACCGCGGCTCGGCTTCGGGCGTGGAATAAAGTGGCGCGATCGGCACGGCCCCGTCGGCTGCCTACGACGCCGTCTCACGTCTCTCTTCTCTCGCCGCTACACAACCAATGCGCGAAGCTCCTTGGAAGTGGGACGCAAGCGCCTCCACGCCTTATCTCGCTTCTGGCTTTCGCAAAGGTGGTGTGGGGCTACGTTTTTAGAACAAGTACAGTTTCACAGCTCCGATGGCGAACCGGCACAAGTGGCTGGCGCATAAACTTGCGACAGAGCTATTACACTTCATTTCTTCCCAGTGTCTAGGGTTACCAACCATTTAGGAATTTTGCGGGACCATCCCGATTTTTCATGCACCATCCCGAGTTCCGCGCCGTCCTAGTCTGGACAGCTGCACGTCCCGAATTTATTCCCGAGTGCCTATCACCTACTTAGAAATTCTTATCTGATTCAACACACGCCAAACAACTTGCCTCACGCTAAGAAACATGAAGTGCACACAACTCACACGCAGAGTGCAGTGTTGCAGTGGCTACATGCAAGAGGCTTAATCACATGTGCTCAATTTCCTCCTGAAGTGTGACAACTTTCACGAGCACATTATTCGCCACAAGAAGTGCTGCGAACAGCACGTTATGTGCTGAAGTGCTTCGAGAGGCCGAAACTGTGCCGTGATATAAAAAAATGACAGCATATCCACGGAGTGAATGATGACGAGTGGAGTGAAGCTTCGGAGGTTTTTATCGGTAAATCACGAATCGTCCATCCGTCCGTTGATCCGTCTGTCTGTCTGTCTGTATGCCCGGCCGTTTGTCTGTCCGTCCGCACTTGCTGAGTGAGTGATCGAACTAGGCGGTCACATACCACGAGCTCGGAGGGACAGACCCATGGGTCTAGGAGCTTCGCCCCTAAAAACTGACTCTGCAGACTCGATAAGTGACATACCTAAGTTACGTTTTATTTTTCTTATTTCGTGCGATAGCGGTTATGAACAAGGGTGGCAGTGGCGATGGCGCACGGCTGTCCTTGTCATCTCATAGCAGCTTTCGTCGTAAAAAGCGAACCCCACAGCTCGTTCCGCGAAGTCGCCGTCATGCAAGAGGGAACAGGACGTGCGAGTTGTTCCGATCAAGTGGTCGTGCTCTGGACAGCAGTAGCTGTAGCGGATCCTTGGCCGATCCCCTGTAGTGGGCAGGACAAGGGTCACTCGTCCCAAGAGTATCATCATCATTACCGTCACCACAAAGTGGATCGCGCCGAAGCTGCACGCTGGAAGCAAAAGACGTGTTCTCAAGCACCGCACATCGAAGCGACGCAAAGATGAACCATTCCGATGCAGGTATTTCGTCACCTTTGTCATTTAAATGTTGTTGGCGTAATTGCCTTGTAGGCATGAAAATGGCTCTATGGTGGCATCCAAAAGTCCTCGCTATTTCGAAAACGCAGTAAAGAAATTTAGTTCGCCCTCGGCATGATCATTTTATCACGCGTTGATTGTATAGCCATTCGGGAGATATTTTGTACGTCACAACGCAATGAGTATAATGATGCTATTAACAAAAGCTCGGTGCGTTTTCTTGGCTCAGCATGCCGCGTAATCGATGTAGCCTAGATGTACTTGTTCGCATGGCTAAGAGCTTTGTGATGCTGACGTGACGCAAAGCTGCAGTCATTTTTCTATCAAAAATACCAAAACCTTGTACTGGGTAACTGACAACTGAGCTGGACGTGTGAGTAGGTAGATGCTGATGGAAATGTGAATTATGGTGAATTATAGACCGATGGACCGATCGAAACCATCGTGTAATATAAGTTGTGGATAAGAATATTTAGGTGTTCTTTTTGTGGTCTGAGTAAGATTTACACTTTTAGGTTGTGTTTAAAAGTCACAAATACCGGTATGTCGGGCAGCCCAGCGGAACGACCCGAGATACTGGAATGCGTAGCCGTTGACATTGCTGTACGTAGTTCGATGGTTTCGTGGGCATAGTAATTAGTGCTCAAAACTACAGCATGCATAATATTATCTATCTGAATTCGCTCTGTTCTGTATTGATTAAGAGGCAGGAGGAGTTGCACGCTGAGAAGCGGCGCTGCTGTCGCGTCGCGCGCGAAGCACGCATGCGCAACAAACCACCGCTAACAAATACGAACCACTCTCGCACTTACCTTTCACTGTTCGCGGTATGCGTTGCATGTATACGACTTCATAGTCACCGCAGATAGCAAAAAAAATATAATACAAGTATTTGACGACGTTTTCACGCCACCATTCCGTCATTAGCCACTCTGACTGATATGTTTTCTGTTGCGCTGTAGAAGAATTATACCATCAAGAGTGAGTGTCGGCCTCTTTTAACCATATAAGTTACCTGTGCGAATTACTAGTTCGGGCAGTATAAACCTACGGCCAGATAATGGTATAGAATCTCATATAGGCCTACGAACTCGTGTGGTTTTTGGTGAATTAGGGCCCACTTTCTAGAATTCAAAAGCAGCCTAACCGGTGCCACACCGATACCGCAGCCAATGTGGCTATGTTACTTTTCTCCCCTTATTTCACAGAATACGAGCCGCTACCGGGCTCAGCTCCGAACGTGAGGAGTAATAGGCCAGTTTTCGACATCAGCTTCAACGATTACATCGCAACGACCAATGGTCTCTTCAACTTCCTGGAGATCGTGAGTATCTATCTATCTATCTATCTATCTATCTATCTATCTATCTATCTATCTATCTATCTATCTATCTGCTTACCTGTCTGTCTGTCTGTCTGTCTGTCTGTCTGTCTGATATCACGTGACGCTGTCCCCCAGATTTTTTTTCTGGTGTTTGCTTCCATGATCATGCAAAGCCATTCCCATGCATATTACTTATTTCACGCCGTCCCTTGATTACTAAGGGGCTTTGGACATATCTTAGGGCTCAATTGCACTGCCTGGCCACGCTTGGGTTCTATAGACACAGGAACCCGAAGTATGCCGAGAGCAGAATGGCCGACAGAGTACCCAAACTGGTGAAAACCACAGTAATAGTGCCGAAGGATCGGAACACACAAGCGGCAAGTTGTATTCTAGTTCACTTCGATTCTTCTTCGTATATTGTGCTTTTTAAATGCGAAGCATTTCTTACCAAACTTCGGTGACTTAGAGCGTATCTATCTATCTAGCCGCTAACGTTTGAGGGATCTACTGGTCACCCCCTTAACTTGGTGTGAACCAAAATTAGCATGGGAGGGTAAGATGGTTTGACGAATATGACGTCCTGGTCAAGACATGAATATGTCACAATCCTCTCACGTACTTCGTCAAACACTTTACGCCAGACAGTGGCACATACCCACGGGCAGGTATGTGTCACAGGTGATACTTAGTGTCAAACCAGAAACGACGAGAACACATTTGGGCAATTTTAACGCGTGAGCGTTAAGCAATACCTGACATCAGTAGCGTCGACCCAATAAAGGCGTAGAATAAATGTCAGTGTTAAGGAAAACCTGACATAGGCAGCATTTACCCCCCGACGAAGCACATAATAAATTTCAGGGTCCCAGCAGGAATCGAACCCAACAATTTTGCTTGGCAGTCAAGCATTTTACCGCAGAGCTATGTCAGGTCTCGCAACTACTATTTCAAATAGACGCTAATCTTCGTGAAACGTCAGTAGTGGTTGTATTGCTGCCTACGAAATTTTATAAACATTACATACATAATCCTTTGATACAGCCGTCACGTCAGGTGATTGTGGTTAGGTGCTATGCGCTGAAGTTCATTTATGTAGCAGTGTCCAGGGCCAGCATCTTCGCAAGCACAGTGCTTCATATCAGCTTCTGGTGTCGCTTATACGCATGTTCTAGTGTGCATCGTTGCGCAAGTGCAGACAACTGGTTATATAGGTCTGGTTAACATAGGTTAACATAGGCCTGTGCGTGCAATGTTTGTACATATATTTAGCGTCCTTTCATTACGTGTCGCTCAATAAAAACATGCTACACGGTCACCTTCCCTGCGCATGCTTCGCATAACGTCGATTCCCAGATACGTGGGATCTGCCGAATTTTTTTTTGTCAAATCAGAAATAAATGCGACAGTCCACATCCTTTGGGAACCCTTTGACATCAATGTCAATATTTTACAACACACCACTGTGGGTAATAAAAATCCGCACTCGTGTGCCATCTATTCTGCAGAAACAGTGAATGTGCGGTGCTGCTCTGTTTGGCTTCTGGTTTTCTGGGACGTATTAATATGTGTGCGGAATTACGTTATTTGTTGAGTGTAGGTGTAAGGACGTGTGGCTGTACGGCACCCGTCCCTGCTACAGTGACTTTAGATTCATGCGCGAGCTGGGCTTCTACATCTCAACGTGCGGCTCCCTCTTCGTCCTCTGCCAAACCAGTTATGCCATCTATGAACGTATCTGGAAATTGAAGCAAGACAAGTGCGGATGGTCATCTGTCATCAGGCCTAGGCCCAAAACAGCTCAGCGGCTGCAGAGTAGAGGTTCTTTCCTCTACTATATTCGTCCGAGACGACGTTTGATATGTTTGGAAGACAGCGCTTTGTCCTAGGCTGTCTCCTTACATCGAGGGTTAAACTCACCTCAGCAAGCGGGTTGCAATCACGAGATTTATACTTTTGGAGGGGCCTGAACTGTGAGGATTGTTAAAGGGGGAGGACGTTTGAACAGAATGTCACCAAAGCCTGCCATTTGAAATAACGCATTATCGACACGGACCATTTCTGAAAGAAATTCGGGGTCAGTGTTCGAGAAACATTAATAGTGACCTCCAGAGTGCCTGCAATATGAACGCCGAATGTAAAATACACGTTTCAGCACTTAGGGAACGCGTAGGATGCCTCAAGGAAAAAATGCTCTACACCTGTTCTGTCTCGGTGCTTACCCTAACAACATGTTATTATTAGAATAGGCGAGTAAAAATGCGAGTACAGCTTAGCAAGGTCACAAGCACTCTATACCTTGTGAACCCGCGGGCCGCCAGCGACATATTTGTGACCCACGCATTTGAGACCCCTGCCTTATACATGGCCTCGGTCGTTGGCGTATAGTGCGCTGCTAGCCACCACCATCAGCCACCTGTACTCACTCACTCAAGTCACTCGCTTCTTGAGCTTTAGTGGCTAAAGAAGTGGCTTGCGGCTGTTTACCTGATGACCTGCGAGGTTCAGGCGTGATCTCGGAGGCCGTGTTTTCGAAGCGCCCGCGTTTTTTGAAGGCGATGATTGCGAGACAATGTTATCCTCCTCGCCTTCGGCAGGTGGGCGGCGTCACGCTGAGCGTGTTGCTGGGCTCGGATTCGACCCGGTACAGCGACTCGAAGGCGAGGCGCTTACTTTCCGGCACGGCCTACACCTTCTGCTTCAACGGCATCTTCATGATGGTCAGCAGCCTGCTGAGCTCCGTCTCGGCCGCCTACCTGCCGGTGCTCTTCTACGTAAGTCACTTGGGTGCCTTGACAACAAATAATCATCACGAATGTGAATTCACTTTGAGGCAGCATTTATCCGCGGAGAAATGCGATAGCGAATGTTGGCAAGCATGTCACCCTCTGTCACAGCTGAAACCGAAAGTGTGCTGCACACAAAGTAAGATATGCAAGGGACACTAAAGATAAACTATGAATTTGTTTAGATTGACACACTGCGCTTTGAGAACTGTAATACCACATGTTTCACAATCGTAAGTTCATTATTACTGGAGAAAATCAAGGTGGAAGTTTCATTTTTAAATTTCGCGCCAGACTCCTCGTGCCTGACGTCAGGAACTTTTCACGGTATTTAATGGCATCCATTTACGGTATTCCATTCATTTACGGTATTTTCGTGGCATTGGCCGGAGAAAATTTTGGGAAACATCGCCACACAGAGATTACAGTGCACTTCATTTTTATCATTAGCAAGCTTGGCATGACCTTGTAGACACTTTCAAAACTTGTGTCGTCATAGTGTTTAGTGCGAAAACGTCAAAGGGGCGTCGCCTCCCGCATTGTTACCGCGTGTTTTATTGTGACAGCAATTATACAGGCACTCGCGGCTGAAGTTTGCCGCCGGCGTTGGCATCGCCGCTACTCACCATATATGTATACGTACTCTCTATATGAAATCGCAAGAAAAAAATAATCCAGAAAAACGACTTCCGTACGCGGAATCGAACGTGGAACCTCTGAGTCGCGAGTGCGAGGCGTTACCTACTGAGTCACGAAGAATTTTTCTTTTTTTATTGCACTGAGCCACGAAGAAGCACCTCCTCCAACGTTCAAACGGCAAGCTACGGGCATCTCGGGGGAACTGTCGTGTTTTCAGCATTACTTGTAAGATGGCGCTGTGAGCGCGCGCTCTCATCTCCCACGCGTACTTTGCCTCGCGGAGAGGGGGTAGGATGGACACTAACGCGTGAGGTTATCTCGTGGTGGGGAGAATCGTAGGTCTTGGCTGGCCTTGGGCTTTCACCTTGAACGAGTCTGTGGTAGCTACTGGGCGCACAAAGGTCACTGCAGTTGTTGCACGGGCTCCGTTTGCGAAGAGGGCGCGCTTTTCTAACACGGCGAAGTAACAACGGAGACGCTTATTCGCGCTCATCTGTACCTGTCAGTACGCTTCGCGCATCTTTTGTGCGTGAGAAACGCGGAGCACGTTTCGATCTGCTTGACATTCTGCGCGTGACCTTACGATTTGTTGCAATCGTGTTCATTGATTCGCATTCGTGGCAAAGCTGTGACTTTTTTTCTCGCTTACTAAGTGTCGTGTCGCGGTAAAAGTGGTGTTTTTGGTATTAGGAAATCGCAGTTAATACGCGAAAAATTGTTTTGCTGTGGAGTGTCTCTTTAGAGGGCTGCTAAACCGTCTTCGGTATTTTTTTTTACCAATTCGAGTAAACACGCGCATTGAATTTAGAATGCCGTCACGACCAACGATACCATACGCGGCAGCACAACGAGTCGTGGGTACACCGCAAAAGGGATAAATAAAGTCATACTCTTCTCCGAGTCCTTTGGTTTCTCCAGCGTTGGTAATGACGTCGGCACTCTGCATCTCGTCATCTAATTACCAACAAGAATTCTCTGCTCTTGCTCCTCGCACGGCGACCAGGAGCACCTTGCTAGGAGGAGGGATGAACTAACGAAAACAGCGTAGCAAATCAAAGAGCGAAAAGAGTGAGGACCTTGTTTCGGTCATCAAACGCGCGTAACTCATCTACTACGGCAACATTTTGAATTTTCTCATGGCTACGTGCTTGTTAAAGACCAGTGCACAAGCGCAACACCGAAACTACATTCCAGCTTCTGTCTGGTTTGGGGACATTTAAAGCAGTACTCGCATGTTTTGAGGCCTTGTCAAAGTTATTATTTTTGGTTTCTTGGCGTGTGGTGGTAATGCTGTCCATACACCGAAGCCAGAAACATGTGTAAGATACTGTAGTTTGATTTTAAAGTTTTCGTCGTCCAGCATCGAGTCAATGCCGTCCGGTGGATTTGCGAACTATGCGAACACCACGCTGTCCAAATTCTTATTTGAGTCACTGGATGTGAATTCACCTTTCATCGTTAACATTCAACACGTACAACTAACAGCAAACTACAAAGTGCTGCGGGACGTCAAGAGTTGATGTCTTCACGTGAATTAGACCTGCGTTACACTGTGTGTACATGTCACGTGACACACCCCTATATGGGCATCTAGAGTGTTTTTTTAAGGAAACGGTAATAAAGATATAATAAAAGCGTTTCAAGCAACCATGATACACTGTTGATTCTACTTGACGCCAATACTTTCAGTAAGCGCAACAATAAAAATATTTCTAAACTCGTATCAATACTCCAAGTTATCCATTCGGGCACCAGACTTCTTTCAAGTCATATTGAGCTGCAGTGTGAGGGCCACGTTTATTTTACCTTGTCGGCCTGCGGCATTGTTCCCGTCAATACGAAGCTTTTTACACTTCCTGAACGACCACCGGGATTCAAGCATCATTTATCTTGCTCTAATGCCACGTGACAGCGCCATCAGGTGACGTCACAAAATTTACTCAGTCTGACTTCGTTATAACGTCAGGCGATAGCTAAACAATACGATGTGATCAATGACGTGGGTCACGTAGAATTTTCTGCCACTACATTCACCTGCCGTGCTTACGTCAAGAGTCTGCTCAAAGTCTTTCACCTTAAAATGAAATGGGGGGGGGGGGGTCACCGTTGTGTACTTTGCTTGCACCCTCTTTCTACTCACCCCGTGGCTTCGGTGGAAGTCATGAATGTCTATTACGTACATCATGATGAGGTCAGCGGGAAATTCAAGATGGCGTCACTATCGTTTGCATTCTTGTGTGTTTGATGAGCTCCCCCCCCCCTCTCCTTACGGGAGACGGGCCTGAAAGCGATACACAATGCACTGAAAGTGTCGAACGTATCGTTGGCCGCCAATAGTCCGGTGGTGAAGCGTGTCAGAATTTGTACACGTGCCCTCAAAGATTGTAGCGTTATTTATTAGTTACCAGTTAGTTCCAAAACAAACCCCAGTTGTGCATGTCATCTAACCGGAAGGTTCTAAGATTATCTGGATGATTCCCAGTCGTTCGGGCATGGTTTGCGCATAGCAGCATTGACACGCGTAATGGGGCGGTAACTAAATATCATGAAACAAAGTGGAAAGACGGTAGCATGTGTGGCATGTTCAGCAGAGGTCGACTGTAATTTCTATAGCCCGTGTGCGCATGCATGAATCGTCGATCTCGGGAAGTCTCATTTCGGCAATCGGTTCCGCGCTCTTACCTCCTCGCAGTACGTGCTGTTCCAGGCAATGGGTGCCGCCTGCTACATCATCAGCGGCATCATGATCGCCCGGCAGACCCACGAAGTATCGGTAATAGTCGTAAGTAGACTTTGTTTTTGCATTTACGTTTTTATGACAACCTCGAGGGCGCGAGCCCCTCTCGAATGTCTGTGCTGGACCCTTGGGGTCACTTGGCTGCAGGCGCACAATTCGACCATATGAATTTGCCCACTGAAACACGACTTCAAGGTACAGTGCGAAGTTATACGTTCACTCTGTTCAGGTACAGAGTGACATATAATGAATGCATTTCAATGAAAAGCAATTACAGAGGCAAGCCAAGTTCAGCGCCCCGCCGCGGTGGTCTAGTGGCTAAGGTACTCGGCTGCTGACCCGCAGGTCGCGGGTTCAAATCCCGGCTGCGGCGGCTGCATTTCCGATAGAGGCGGAAATTCTGTAGGCCCGTGTGCTCAGATTTGGGTGCACGTTAAAGAACCCCAGGTGGTCTAAATTTCCGGAGCCCTCCACTACGGCGTCTCTCATAATCATATGGTGGCTTTGGGACGTTAAACCCCACATATCAATCAATCAAACAAGTCGATGGACGACTCGTATAATGACGCCCTGTCATTCTAAGTCTGAGGAAATCGCAGCATATTCGCTTTTTCGAGTTTCGACTTCGGTTTCGCCGCTGAATCGGGTGAATTTCGTTAATTCGCAATAATTTAACTTTAGGTTGCCCTTTTTTTTTTCAAAATCTCAAAGCTCCCATGGGTTCATCGCACGAAACACTTGAATTCTATCATTTTAACTGATCGCCAGACTAAATTAACTTAAAAAAATACCTATCTTTATTATTGTTCCAAACGCAGCGTGCTCACGGGAGCCGGTTGTCACAACACCACCATCCTATACACGCGGTCATCCTATAACGTGGCTTGACTTGGCCATAGAGTTTTCCACTTCACAAGAGTCAGGCCACTGGGCATCACACCGGTTTACTTCGCAAGTTTCGCTCTCTATATTCATATTGCTCTTAAAAGGTGTTACCTTCAGTTCATATAATCTTCGAATTTTTGCTGTCACATTCATTGTGTCGCCCATGCTCGGTAAGTTAGTTTTTATACATTTTTAAATATTGCCCTTCTGAACGCAAAGCGTTAAAAAGAAATATTTCGTGGCCTCTCTGCTTTTTGCCCAGGTTGTCGGACTCTGCTCTGGAGGCATGCATGCATTCCACTTCGCGTACTGCTGCTACAAGAACTACATCGAGGAGGACGAAAAGAAGTGGTGGAATAAAAAAATTGTTGTACAGTATCGATTAGTCAACTTTTACACCGAGTATGATATCGCAACAACGGTTGAATTCGGTAGTGTATACTTGTCCACCACCACCGGTGTGCGTAATCAATATCACGCGAAATGACAAGAAAAGAATGAAATTCGATGAGTCGCCAGGCTTGCTCGAAATCTGTGCCAGTGAAAGCTTGGAGAGCAGTCTCTCTAAAGAGCGGAGATCTCAAACGCACTCACAAAACATTTTCCTCGAGGTCCGAGACAAAAAAAAAACAATTTGAAGGGACACCAAAGAGCACAACCATTTATCGTGTATTTGTAAAGTACAATTTCACAATCCCGAAAACAAAACTCTATCGCGACATGTCAACTTCACCGCGAGTGGCCATATGTAAGCCAAACAAAAACCTGGATCCGAGTGCAAATGCGTGGACAAGTGCACTGAATGTGTTTATTCTATAGCGTGACGCCCACCTATTTCGTTTTACGAACCTCATTGTGACACGCAGTTAGGTTGAATGCAGACGCAAGCTTTGCGTGGGTTGCGCGTAATGTCTTCCAGTGTTTCCTTTGACGAACATGTAGTGCGAGACAGTGCTTTCAAGCACGAGCAAGCAGCATGCTTTGTAATTTCAACGATGTATTAATATTTGATGCTTTTGGAGGCATCCATGCCTTCAAAAGTACAAGCTTTCGTCTTCGTAGTAAATATATAGTACGTTTTTTTTTTCAGCAGCTGGACAGTCGATCGTGCCTTCATTTCAGTGTTTTTGTACCGCAAATTTATTTGGACACGAGACGTCCAGCTGCTCAGAATACACTTATCAATACGTAAGGAAAGATCGCCTGCGCCAATGTACTGCGTCATTGCATCGCAGACGCAGGCGTTGTAGTAGCTCAGTCAGCGAAATTCATATGATACTTACACAACACCGATTTTATGGAAGACAGTGGGACGCCGTCCACATCAATATCGGCTTATACAAGGCCAGAGTTATACGCTCGTGAAGCATCGCTTACAGGATTGCAATTGTGCAGATAGCTCCCAAAAGGAATCGAACGAACGATACTGCAGCTGTTACTCTCTGATAGCATGCTTTTGTGAGCGACACACTTTATTGTAAGAGCGTTCGTGAAAAAAAGAAAAAAAAACAGGCCCCTAATGTTTACAGAACGTTCAACGTAACTGATAGACAACGTTGCCACAATGTAATTTTGATAGTTTGTTTTCTGTGTGAGGAAAAACGCTCGCACTTTGGCAAGAATGCCCGATAGTTCGCTGTCTCGTTGCTATACGAGCAAGACGGAGGGATCATCAGGCCAGCTCTGTGCAAGTATAAATTAAGATTTGTGATTCTGCATCGCACTCGGGTCATTACTACTATACTGTCCGTCTTGTTTAACACCGCTTTCTGCTCCGAGGGAACTGAAAGTGCTGAAACTCCAGTGATGAATCGATATTTGGGGTAAGTACCGACACGGCATACTTTCTGAATCTGGCCGAAGCGACAAATGCCATAACTAGAAGGAGAAAATCTGTACCTGCCTGAGAAGCCTTTATCAAAGTGTCCGCCACTTCATTCAGTACTATTACTTTGTGTTATGGCACCCGAATTGACCACAGGTTTTTCAAATAATGTGGAACAAGTAAGCACGATAATCTGGGCAAATGCGATTCTGTTGGACTAGTTAGATCCGAAGACGAAAATAATAAATCTGTCACTGTAGCCGCAAAAGTTGTCGATAAGCGAAGCTTACTTAGGGCTTAAATAAAGCTAAGAATTCAGCCAATGCCCCGCCGCGGTGGTCTAGTGGCTAAGGTACTCGGCTGCTGACCCGCTGGTCATGGGCTCGAATCCCGGCTGCGGCGGCTGCATTTCCGATGGAGGCGGAAATGTCGTAGGCCCGTGTGCTCAGATTTAGGTGAACGTCAAAGAACCCCAGGTGGTCTAAATTTCCGGAGCCCTTCACTACGGCATCTCTCATAATCATATGGTGGTTTTGGGACGTTAAACCCCAAAAATTGATCAATCAATCAATCAATCAATCAATCAATCAATCAATCAATCAATCAATCAATCAATCAATCAATCAGAATTCAGCCAAAAATATATTGCGCATAATCGGAAAGTCTTACAGAAAACGACCAGTCTATAGTTGTGTGGCGAAAATTCCCACCGCGACCTTTTTTATACACTGCGAAGCATCATTTACCATCATGACCGTCGTGGCAACCTGATTTGAGTAATCCTGAAAAAAGGTCCATTCAGCACATTTCAAGGAAGTAGGCTCGCAATGTTCGGGAATATATCGTCATGTGATATGGCTAATTAACTCTACCTGTCACTCATTACCACTATATAATCAAGCTTTATTTGTAAAGGGCCCGATAGCTGCTGGGTAAAAATTACCTGTGGGGTATAAAAGTGAGGTCGCGACACTTTAAATAACAGCACGCAACATTTATTTATTTGTCGTGCGAATGCCACAAACACAAAGCGGACATGCAGCGCGGACATTCGTGCAATGTGTTCTGTATCTCACGAGGCAACCTTGAAGCGTAAAGACCTAATGTTTTCGCTTTGATGATTGTAGTACTGGTGAATGAAGTATTATTTCTATTTATTACTTGATTTGGGATACACAAAACACAAGATTACACAGAGGAATTAGGTATAGGGAAACAGGCTGCCACCCAGGGGGGGGGGGGGGGCACGACGCCTGTCTGCTTTTTTGGGGAGGAGAAAGCAAGGTAGGCGGAAAGAGCAAAAACAGGCGTAAGCACAAGTAGTTACTTATGAAAATGTCTACAAAGGCGGGAGCGCGGGGCCAGGCCGGCTTTGTTTCAGAACGTTAACGGGCTCTGTGGGCCTGGGTGTATACGTCAAGCAAGCTGCACATACTGATCGCGAAAGCGCCTGCCTGTAGCATATTGCTTTGCACAGTGGGTCGATGTCATCGATGAGAAGCAAGAAGAAGAAGACGTCTGATCTGCGAGCCGTAAGTGCCCGATTTGCACAGTGCATGACTTGCGATACAGATAAAAGCTTAATGATATCTAGGGTTTTGGCAAGCCAAAAGCGTGATATGAGGGTTAGGCGCGCCGTAGTGAAGGGCCCCAGAAATCCAAACGTCTGGTAGGTATTCTTTACCGTGCCCTGACATAACACAGTACACGGGCCTCAGCCGTTTCGCTTCCACTGAAGTGCGACCGCTACTGCCGGGATCAAATCCGCAACCTTCGGGACAGCAGCCGAGTTCTGTAACAACTGATCCACCGCGGCGGACAAGCGAACATCTTATGTGGGGCAGAAAGCATATCGTACAATTTTTTCGTGATTGCGTATACAAGGATGTAGCGTTGTGGGGTAGATTAGATGGGATGACCAAGATCAGGCTGGTGATGAAAGGAGGATTTCCATTTAGGAAACTTGAAAAAGGGATTTAATTACATTTAGAGAAAACGTTTACTGGTCCTCGTTGATCCGATGCCCGCCATCTCGGCTTTCTCGGGTGGTGGTGGTGGTAGTGGTTGGAAGAGGAAAAAGGCACCTAATTTCTGCAGCCCGGTAGGAAGCATGGCGCAGTGCCTACTTTTCTCGGGCCCCCATCTCGTCTCTCGTCGTCTTCGTCCTTTTTTACCCCCGTCGTTCCCGCCTTTCTCCCTCTTCCTCGGCACTTCGGTCCATTTCAAGAAATGCAGGGGCGGCTCGCAGTAAGAAGGGGGATCGAGGGGTGTGAATCGTGAACGTGGAGCCCGAATCCCCCTCGGCTCGAAGGACACGATTGCTCAGTCCTCTGGAGGGCCGTTCCACGCGCTTCCCGCACAGCCGCAACACACGTGCCGGGACTCTTACCGTACGCAAGTGGGGGACAAATAAGCCAATTGGCGACGCTGCGGAGAGTGAAAGAGCGTCGCCGATTGGATTATTTGTCCCCCATTTGCGTGCCGTACGAGTCCCGGCACGTGCGTTGCGGCTGTGCGGGAAGCGCGTGGAACGGTCCTAAGTCGACCCGTCCGTTTCCAGCAACAGCGTCGACTCTTCCGCTTCCAGCAACAGCCGCCGCATTCCGCGGGGCTTAGTTGTGGCGTCAGCGCGCCCGTCTCGAACACGTCACTGGCAGCGGGACGCAGCTGGGCACAGTCTGTACAAGAGGCATCTACGGCCGTACATGTATACGTGCGGACCAGTAAAGAAAAAAAAACGCATGACATGGAGAAAGCGTATCACAAGAGTGTTGCGTAAGCATAGCCGGAAATATTACTGGACTCTTAAAATTCAACGCTCCTTGCATAACTACGAAAGGTCAGCGCTTCGCCCTCAAGACACATTTGACACTCTACAAAGCTACTTCCGTGTAGAAAGTGGAAGTCTGCATAGCACTGAATTGACGTGTCTTGCGGAAGAGTTCCACTCCCAGGACTTGGGACACATCGGTAAGAGGCGTCATCTCTTGGCGGTAGCAATGGCGTCCGGCCATATTCGAATGTGAAGTAAGGGGAAAAAAAGTCACATCGTTTCAAAAATAAGCTCGATATTCAAAGTACCCGAGGTATAGTGCATCTTGGACGGGCAAGACACATTACACAAACACAACGTTGTGTGTTCTCTCTTTCGCGTGCCGGGGTGCACTATACTTCAGGTACTATGAATAAACAACAAGCACGCCGTGCGACCTTAGTCGATATTCAAGATGACTCCATGATCTACGAAACAGATGCCTACTGGTACATTTTGGTGAAATGCCAGTATCGCAATAGAAGGCGGGTGGTTTCCCAAGACAACTTAACACCACCCACTTGGAAATACATGGGGGCCCATTGTAGCACATTAAACGCACTGTGAAGCCACGCCATGGCATAGGTGTTCTGTGGTCTCGTGGCTTGCAGTGCGACACTGTATTTTGACGGAGTGTTTAAGTTTCTGCTGTATACAACCGGGAGTAATTTTTGATAACGTGGTATTTTTCGTTAGATTAGATTTTTTTCGCCCATTCGCCACTGAGTTATGGCAGGCCACCGCTGTCGCTGACAAGAGATGGCGCTACATGCAAATTTTCACTAAATCTGGTTTTGGTTCACGTAGGGGTTATATTAGACATTGCAGGAATTTCATTGAAGTACTGCAACTGCCCGCGGTGGAGAAATTGTTTTCGCTGTAATAAATAATATTACTACATTAATTTTAGGGGCTAGTAATTTTTGTAATCTGATAAATTACTTAGAGTTATTTCGAGAAAATTATATTCGTTACTCGCCCCGTTATTTTTGACCATTTTATAGCATGTATATTTATTTATTGCATTAAAATTTAGAGAATAAAAGCAAAAGCTACAAAAATAAGTTTATCTGGGGGCCACGCCTTAAACATTAAGAAGATGAGAGAATCATCTCTGATGTTTAACTATACATGCTCAAATAAAGTGAACATTAATTGAGCATGAAAGAGGAACCTCTGTTAAGGTATTTTGAAATGAATACCATTGCTTTTGGCCAGCGGTAATTTACAGAGTAACTTAACTGAATTTAAGGAAATAAATGTTAGTACGAAGTCTTGCCATTTGATTACTTTTTAGGAGTAGTTATGCCATTTCTTGGACATTCCGAAGCGTCACACGAATCTGACCAGTTCTTTGACACAGGCAGGCCATGTCCGTCAGCAGCTCTCTTTTCCCGGTCAAAGAGCGCAATCCGAGGCTGGGCCGCTGCCACGTGCCTAGGTTCGTACTCGACGAAGATGGACACGAAGTCATGGAAGATCTTCGCACCGATGACCTACCACCGGTGAGCGCTGCACGCGAAGAATTTTCGTTAACACACACACACACACACACACACACACACACACACACACACACACACACACACACACACACACACACACACACACACACACACACACACACACACACACACACACACACACACACACACACACACACACACACGTACGCACGCACGCACGCACGCACGCACGCACACACACACACACACACACACACACACACACACACACACACACACACACACACACACACACACACACACACACATATATATATATATATGTGACGTTTCACAAGTGAATGTGGGGAAGAAAGAGGAGGAAGACGAAGGGTCAGAATAAACTGGTGTTCTGACTGACGCCATGTCTCATCCGTTACACTAAGTCGACAGGATCTACCGCAGCAACATCATGAGCCCACCAAAGAAGATGATCAGCCTGCCGAAATACACCGGAGCTGAAGACGACGTCCCCGTTGACAAGTGGTTGCACCTCTTCGAAACGAAGGCGAGCAACGTCAGCTGGTCCGAACGAGATCGCATCGACTGCATCAGCGAGTACCTGGAAGGTGAGGCATTCCGCTGGTACCTCACCGAGATTTTCGACGCAGAAGATACGTGGGAAGGCATCAAAACAAGCATGATATCACGATTTTCTACACCTGTTAGCGAGCCTTTCCGCCAATTCATACACTGCAGGCTCAAAAGAGAACAGCGCATCAGGCACTACTACGAAGAGAAGACACACCTTGGTCGCCTCGCAGACTTAAAAGACGTTCACATAGTATCAGGATTGACTGATGGTGTACCTGAAGAGATCGAAAGGCGCCTCGCTGGATTGACGCTCACCACCCCAGCCAAGTGGCTTACTGCTGCGCTTCAAGCGGAAGACTCTGTCCACAGAGATGCTTCCCAACACTCGTCAAAACGGCAGCTCATGCGTCGAGAGCCTCATTCTACGCGACCATGGCTCCCTACAAGATTGATGCGCACCCCTCACAGTGAGTGCCGACATTGTGCATCTGCTGGTTTGCCGAATCAGTTTCACTGGCACAATGAGTGCCCTCGTCGTGAAATGGTGTCTGCTCTAACTGACAACCAGGGAAACGAAGAGGGCGGCCCAAAGGCTCATTAATACGTTTTGGTGCACTTGTGAACGGACACATGGTGAACGCAACTCTGGATACAGGAGCGACTATTACCTGTATCAATGAAGTTGTGTTCAAAAAACTCAAGCTGCAGTTGCTCAAGGATTCATGCATTAGTGTCCAACAAGTCACCTCAACCACAAAAACTTTGGGCCGCGTACGCATACAGTTGGAAATAGGGAAGTTAAAGCGGTCAGTCCAAGCACACGTTCTACCAGGCATGAAGACTGAATTCTTGCTAGGCCTGGACAACGCCTCCTTTTTCAACCTATCACTGGATTTAAACACAATGACTTTGTTTCAAGACAACAAAGCTTTGCAGAATTCCTTTCAAACACAAAAGTGTGTCTTCAGCGCCGATACAACCCCTCTCCAAGCCGTTGATGTCACGCACCTTCCACCATCGCAACAAGCTGCTTTGAGAGAGGTGCTTCACAATTACGAAGACATTTTCTCAAAGTCTCAGGTGGACTTCGGATGTATCGCGGAGGAACGACACTGCATTGCCCTCAGCAACAACGTGCCTATCCACAGACCACCGTATCGATGCTCCCTGGCAGACAAAGAGGAAATTGTCAAGCAAGTGGACTTACTTCTCAAGCAAGGTGTAGTGCGTCCATCTTTTTCCCCATACGCGGCTCCAGTCATTCTTGCAGAGAAAAAAGGTGAAGGACGCACACGTTTATGCATTGATTATCGAAAGCTTAACTCTGTCACTGTGCCTGACTACCAACCTATTCCGCGTATAGACGATGTTCTAGACTACCTGGGAAAATCGAAATATTTTTCGACATTGGATATCACATCAGGCTATTGGCATGTCAAAATGAACCCAGAGGACATCCCAAAAACAGCTTTTGTCACGCCGAATGGCCATTATGAGTGGCTTGTTATGCCTTTCGGTTTGAGAAATGCTCCTGCTACATTCGAAAGAGCTGTGAAATCAGTTATCAGAAAACATAACTTAAAGAATGTCGTTAATTATTTTGATGATATCGTAGTCTTCTCCGACACATTTACTGAGCACCCACAGCACCTCCAAGCTCTCTTGCATGCCCTAAAAATGGAGAATATAAAACTTAAATTGAAGAAATGCCATTTTGCCCAAGATTCTATTGAATATCTGGGTCACAGAGTGTCGCACGGTACAGTGTCGCCTATACGAAGAAACATAGAAGCTGTTTTGCGATTCCCAAGACCGAAATCACCGAAAGAGCTTCAGCGTTTTTTAGGCACCACCAACGTTTACCGCCAGTTTATACCGCACTTCAGTGACATAGTTTTCCCACTTACGAAGCTGTTGAAGAAGGACACACCATGGGAATGGGATTCCTCATGTGAACAAGCCTTTGAGAACATGAAAAACTGTCTGACCAAAGAACCCATTTTACGAATTTTTTCTTGCGAGAAACCATGCATTCTTTATTGCGACACACACACACACACACACACACACACACACACACACACACACACACACACACACACACACACACACACACACACACACACACACACACTTGCAACGCTGACATATGTCAGCGTTGCAAGAAGCCGAAAACCAAGAGATTCGGATCTCTCGAGTCACTACCACCTGCAGAACAACCCTTCGATCTTTTAGCAATGGACACTATAGGTGGCTTTTCAGGATATGGCTCGACAAAGAAGTTTATTCACTTGGCGATCGACCACGCTACGCGGTATGTCTGGGCGTTTCCCCACAAGAACGAAACTTGTGACGCATACATTTCGTGCATCACCGCCATCTTTGCAGCAGGAAAACCCAAGAAGTTCCTATCTGATCGTGGACCAGCTTTCACAGCTGGAAAATTCAAGCAGTTTCTAAAACGCAATGGTGTCCACCAATTGTTCACATCCTCCCAACACCCTCAATGTAATGGCATAAACGAACGTACAAATCAGACTATTGTAACCCGGCTAAAGTGCAAAATGAATGAGCAGCCACAGAAGTCTTGGGTCAAACATCTTTCGGATGTTGTCGATGAATACAACAGAACCCCACATGAAGTAACACGATATCCACCATCGTACCTAATGTATGGAATTCCTTCATACGACACAATTTTAGACGCACCAATGGAGAGTGTGCAAGAAGCAAGGAAAAGTGCAATCAAGAACACGCTTGCCTATCATGAGAAGAACAAGATAATCTACGACAAAAAATTCCTACCACAAGATCTCCAACCTGGTGAATTGGTCCTCTACGAAACACCTTGGCACCCGAACAAAGGAAAGCTCAGTTCAGTCATGGAAGGACCTTACACAATTCTTCGCAGAGTCTCTCCTGTGAACTATGAGATCGACCGATGTGTAGCTCCGTTAAGCAGAACTACTGATATTGTGCACGTCAACAAACTGCGTCGCTACTATTGTCCCAATAAGTTGACGCTCTCTCGGGGGGAGGGGGAAACGTGTGACGTTTCACAAGTGAATGTGGGGAAGAAAGAGGAGGAAGACGAAGGGTCAGAATAAACTGGTGTTCTGACTGACGCCATGTCTCATCCGTTACATATATATATATATATATATATATATATATATATATATATATATATATATATATATATATATATATATATATATATATATATATATATATATATATATATATATATATATATATGTGTGTGTGTGTGTGTGTGTGTGTGTGTACGATAGCAGACAAGAAGGTTATAAAGAACCTTTAACCTCCTTGATAGTCGCCTACTCACCTTAACAAGTAAACAGCATAAAACATTTTGATGTACAGTGTACAACTCTGCCGTTTTAGTTTCTGTGGGCCCCGCCGCGGTGGTCTAGTGGCTAAGGTACTCGGCTGCTGACCCGCAGGTCGCGGGTTCGAATCCCGGCTGCGGCGGCTGCATTTCCGATGGAGGCGGAAATGTTGTAGGCCCGTGTGCTCAGATTTGGGTGCACGTTAAAGAACCCCAGGTGGTCGAAATTTCCGGAGCCCTCCACTACGGCGTCTCTCATAATCATATGGTGGTTTCGGGACGTTAAATACCACAAATCAATCAATTAGTTTCTGTGGGTACGTTTCCTTTTTTGTTGCAAGTTGCACTGTTCTTTTATTTCTTGCATGTTACGTTACATCTGTATGTGCAATGCACATGAATTGTTGCTCGTTGACTGCGTTTTAGTTTCTTCTGTAAGGTATGTCTCACGAATGTATTTCTGGTGAGCCCCAGGCGCACTCAAGCTGCAATTTTGTAGATTTTGGACAGGGGTGCTTTCCCGCCATGATTAAAAAAAAAGACAATTACAAATGTAAATGTCATGTCACATTGACGCCAGTGGCGATTACACGCCTTGCTGACCTAACAGCCGCATTTTAAATATTGGGAATACCTTTTGTCTAAACATAAGGTAGAAAATATTAAAACTTTAATTTAGTACCTCGAACAACATTTGGAAGGGCGTTCTGAACTTCTTCCGTTGTGCCAGTCAAAACTAGCTTATTTTTTCTTGGACACGCTGTCCTTGTTTTTCTCCTTGACCCACGCTGATGGGGCACAATGAATCTTTCTGACCGAATTCAACTAGCGCAGGTACTCACGTGCTTCCCGCACTGGTTATAGCACTGGCTCTCATCAACTCGAAAGCCTTAAATCGGTCAACAAATACAAAAAGTGATCGCCAGTGTGGACACGGGTTTTGCAAAATATTATGCGACGACATTCACCTTGTGACATTGTAACGACGTCCCGGTTGCCAAGGTTTGTAATGTCATCATGATGTTATACTGATGTCACTCTAGCGTGACGTCACATGGGCGAGATTGTCGCATGGTGGTGGGCGGCCTATCACGTAGGCTGATGCCGAAAGTTTGCAGTGCCGATAGTTATAGTGTGAGAACAAAACGACGACACAGAGACAAGAAGTACCCGAAAGATACGAGCGCTACTTCTTGTCTCTGTGTCGTCGTTTTGTTCTCGCGCTATAACTATCGTCATGTCATACCAACTAGCCCAAGCTGCCACACTTGTAAATTTGCAGTGCCTCCTATCTCTGAAGCAATTAAAGCGCACGATACGTGCAAAAGTTTTTCGAAGGTGGGGAGCTCGATGCCATCGAAGGAAAAGAAGAAAAGACAATGGTTTTAGTTTTCCTGCGGAAAATGTATTATTTAAATAATTATTTCAGAAAATCTGTATCGCTAAGCAATGTGGAATTACAAACAAGTTTATTTATATATCAAGGCACCCCCCGTTTAATGGCTGATCCGCCATGGTGGTTTGGGCCAGTTTATTAAGGGTCAACCAACCAACCATGTGGAACTTCAGAAGGGTGTCTTGCTGGGCAAAGTTGTAATATCCTATTATTAAACGTAGCGTAAAAGTCGCAAAAACGGAGAACACAATAAACGCAGCGCTGATTATCAACTGACTGTCAACTATCAAACGCCACTGCTGCAACCCTTACTACAATGAAAATTAACCAACTAGCCCAAGTAGCCGTTCTTCATTTAACAAACGTAGCGCGAAAAGAGTTTATGGCCAGTCCTGTGTTTGTATTCTTTTCTGTATCTTTTGTGCTACGTTTAATAATAGAACAAGGCATTCTGCGAGTTTGGAGCTCTGCGACGGCCGCCTCACGGCTAGTAAACCCGTTGACTGTCGTTTCACAGGGTCCCCCCGACGATGCGAACTTCGCCCGTAAGCGGCTGTTGATCGCGTCATGCAGCGTCCTGCTGCTTGCCGGTGTCGTGGCCTTTATCGTGTGCGCCATCGTAGAAAGCCCCTCGGCGTTCTTCGGGCACCTTTCTGCCGCAGGGTTCGACCACACCACCCACGAAGCTGGCACCTCGTGAGTGTGTGTGTGGAAGGTGGTTTTGGTTAGAGTGCGCTGTTCGTTCTGTGCGCATGCCGCGCACTTGCACGGAATAGCACGGCTGTGCCGAAAGTGTTGCTTATCTACTTCGCAACGACTAATCTATTTCTATTTTACATCGAAGCTAAGTCTGGCTTGGTCCTGTAGAGCTACGTCCATGGACAAAAAGGCGTGTATAAAACGGCAATTTTGAGTGAACCGATTGACTCGATCAATATAGCGTTGTTGTGTCGTGAAAACGGACATTTGGCGCTAGTGTAAATGTACAGGTGTACGCTTTTCCAGGTATACGTCCAAGTGGCGTGAACTATTCCGACTCAAAGAGAAGACCGCATACCTAATTGATTACGGAAAGAACTATACGTGTCATTTTTGTACTTTCGGAGCAACGGGGTTTCTCGTGCGCTACTGGATTTCGTTTTGAGACTGCCGTCGTTGAGATAACCTGCATCGTGCGCGAAAAAAAAAACACTGTGATCTTTGTGCTCACGTCTCTTCATACACTCATTTTAATCAATAATGATATTATATAATTTACTAATCCACTTTACCAATATTTCATTGGCACAGCTTCGCTGGCTTCCATCTCCAGGGCTCTGAACTTCTCTGTAACGAACTTTTATTGCGAAAGGAACTATATATGGACACTCTCAGCGGGTTCTCGACGTTGTCGTTACCGTCACGTTCTCTATAAGGTCCAAATCGATGGCATTGTTGAACTTTATCAGAAGGGTGAAATAGCGAGCGCTGGAGCGCGTGCGTGTCTTGACAGATGTCTGTAGGCGGCTTGTGTATGTCCTGTGTTGTCGCCACTTACTTCGCTCTGACAGCTTAAAGATTGGCGCATCCTTAAGCTTCACCTATAAGAGTTGAACGCAATGGCGATATGTTGTCCCTAGTGCGTACTAAGACCACTTAGTGCATACTTTTTATAATATAATGTTAGTTCAGAAGTTTAAATTGTGGATTACTACAGTGAAATCAGTAGAGTTTTAAGTGGCTTGAGCCAGTACAGCTTCTCCGCTATCTAACGGGTGGATGGGCGATATATATGAGCGTCCCCTTTATAACGCGGGATGGTTACATGTGTACCACCAGGCATGAATTATGACGGGATGGTGACACGTGTGCCACCAGATTTGTCCTGCGTGGCGGTGCGCCATCTAGTGAGCGTTGTTAGAATAACTGGAGAGGACCCCTTCAGGAGCTACCGGGAAAGTGACGCCGGCAACACTGGCGTACCCGACGGCCGCCTGCATTAACTCTATGCCGCCGGCCACCGCCACCACCGGATCAAGGCAATTTTTTTTCAAACCTTCTTGCAACGAAACGGACAAGGCGTGAACATGAGCAGCTTGACGAGCAAGCTTCTAAAGGGGGAAAAACGAACCTTGCAAAATGCACGCAAAAATGCAGCCGGAACGCATGTCATTGGGCAAGCAATGACGCTTGAAGGCGCTGTTTCTGAAAGTTCTTACCAATTAAACCTTTTTCTAAACCATGGCCTCCGCGATTACCTCCGGCAGTGTGCCGTGATGTCAGAGCTGATCACGGAGGCCACTCGTGAACAATGGCCGATTCGCTGTGAAACCGGACGTGCATCCCAGTCGGTGCGATTTTCCTCGAAACGCTTTCGCGAGAAATTCGACGTTTCCTACCTAAGCGCTTCTCGGCTGTTTCTTTTCATCCGCAGAAAGGAGCCCGGATCTTCCTCCGAGACGACACGCTCCGACAACGTGAATGCTTCATCGTACCCAGCCGTTGACCACACGTTGACCGATGCACTCTTCGAAAACGTTTCGGCATCAATTCTTGCCGAAGACGCCGACGCAAATACACTACTCACCAGCTTCGAAGCGGTGGAAGTGCCCGTGACAGACGGGTCTAAACTCTCCAGAAACAGCTTGTAATGGCGGCTGACAGGGCCACGGTTCCGGATTATCTAAGCGCAGATCTCATACTACGCTTATACTGCGTCGAAGAACAAAGTAGATTTACTCATATCTTTATGTACAGGTCACACAAAGAAAAATAATGCATTCAGGTGGTAACAACGTATATAGTACTAGTTTACATTAAATAAGCGTTGTTCTATTATATAATTTGTCATTACTGCTGCGCAAACAGAAATAATCGTTAAAACGATCACATATAGAGTATAAAGTGAGTGTGCCTAAATTATCACTCTCTCTCTGTGTCTCTCTATGTTTTTACTGCCTTATTTTGTGCGCTGAGCATCCGCCACAAATTTACGCTGTGCAGTGATAGCGGCAAACAGAGCGTCCAATATCGGTAATTTGATCATCGGTGGAACAGACCGCCCTTCATACAGTCGCCACTGAATCTTCCTGCGTTACAGCTGGTGCTCGCGTAAGTTTTCTAATATATTTGTTCGCGTCCTGCGAGACATCGTTAAGCTTCTCAAACAACGTGCACTGTGCGCCGAGCGTTCTTAACAGTACTTTCGAGTGAAACACGGATGCATCCAAACAAACACGCGCTGCGATACTTCGCCCACTCAAGTGGGATTGCTATAACCCAAAGAAAGTTTCATTCAAAAAGCCAAAGGCCTCGAAAGTGACTCAACGGTCCGATTTCCTGCGCACCTTGCAAGCACTGACGGTGCCGCCTCGCTCAATCCTATAGCGAAGAGGCGCACGCGGCTGCACGAGGTTTCACTGTTCCTGGGCCGGCTAACGGGTCATCTCCTGAGCGACCCTAACACTTTCGCTATCACAACGAGATATGCGAGCATCTATATCAGTCAAGAACAAATGCTCCCTCCACCACACTATCTTCTGTGCAGGGCCCAAGCTGCCACTCTTAGACTTCTACAAACAAGCACATGTACCGGAGTCCTGCAGCACTGCGTGCACACGATATATACCGAATGATTACCAAGCCCAGACTATCTTTGTGTGGCGGCTATGCAGATTTCGAGCATGTCCTGTGGGGCTCTACCCGTGCCAGTCCCCCTTGCAACCGAGAGGAAACAAAGAAGCTGAGTAAGGCCCCAGACCAGGCCTCTCAAATCCTGGCCGTCCGGAGGGTGAGCGTGACAGGTTTAACCTGGTGGTCCTAGAGTGGACCTGGGCAGGTGACGCAGAGTTTACTCGCGTCGATTGTGGACGTAAAGGAGTTATTTAAATCACTTTTCAAAAGCACGTGCAGTGAGAACGTTTAGGAGCCTTATACTTTGTACATTTTAGAGAGCATAAAAATATTGCTGTAATAAAGTTTATGTTTTTACTCTATACCTTCCATAACGCTAAAACTCCATAAGATTTTATAAGACCACGCACTTCTTGGCCAATGCCCCACAGTTGGCATGAGCCACGGGAGAAGGTGAACAAGAACACTCCTCACGCAAAATGCTTCAGCTCCCTCAGAAGGCACATGAGGCACCCACGTAAGGCCAGAAGACAGAAACCACCGAGTTGATGTCACGACCCGTTCTCTGCAGGCTGCCTCCACCAATAATTATAATCGTGTTTCTTTTACGTTCAAAAAGCACTGCGCTATTATGAGAGCCGCCGTAGTAGAGGGCTCAGGAACTTTTCGACCGCCTGGGGTTCTTTGACAAGCACATTAGTCGAGGCACACGACTCTGCAGCATATTGCCTCCATCCAAATGAAACTACCGTCGCCCGGATTCGATCTCGCGCACTTAGGATGAGCAGTCCAGCAGCATGACCACCTGAGACGCCACGATGGGTTGGTTGCCTCTACCGAGGCTATGTAAAAGTCTCACTCGACTTTTTGAATTTAATAAAGTTGATGCCTCCTCTGCCTGCTCTTGTGCAGCCTAAAGTTATTCCTCGGTATATCGTCTCTTTGAAATATTTGGTCATTGTTATTTTGCGATTCAATTTTAAACTATATCAGTTTAATAATGCTGACCACTAGTACCCAGTGTAATGTTCGTTGCTTGACCAATCATCAGATTGACATGTGGGATTGGACGTCCCAAAACCATCATATGATTATGTGAGTAGTGGAGGGCTCCGGAAATTTTGACCACCTGAGGTTCTTTAACGTGCTCCCAAATCTGAGCACACGGGCCTACATCATTTTCGCCTCCATCGAAAATGCAGCCGCCGCAGCCGGGATTCGATCCCGTGACCTGCGGGTCGGCAGCCGAGTACCTTCGCCGTTCGACCACCACGGCGGGTCTTACCGGTCATTGGTATATTCAGTACGAGTATTACTTTTTACCTCAGAATTACTCTCTGTGCTTTTTAATCATCTGTATCTTTATTATTTGCACTTTCGTTACATTATTAATTCGTTCATCTTGCACTATTACTTCTTCCATGTTTAAATATTGGACATTTTTTCTACTATATTGGATTTTATTTTTAAAACTTCCAAGTTCTTGGCTAATCCCCCAGCGTAAGTGTATGCTACTGTTCAAAGCTCTACCCTACTCTACAAGCAGAAGTGGAGAAGAAGAAGAAGAGGCAGCACAGGTGGACTGTTTGCCTGATTCTCTATCTCGGCGGCCATGACGACCTAGAAGGTGGGAATGCGAAAATCTTTTGCGAGCTTGTTTTTACAATGCGCAGGAGTTCCGTGCAGTAGGCTCGCGCCCGTATTCAGTTCGTGGAAGTAGACATGCATATCCAGCGTGTAGTAACCTTGCAATGGTTTGAAGGCAAGCCTCGTCCGGCGGGATCGAGCGAATTTAAAACTTCATATTGAAATTAGCGGCCGGCGCCCACATATACGAATCGACGCTGCCTGGTGCTACTTTAAATGAACTATTTCTGAACAGCGTATCCGTTACATACACGAGTCGTGCAGGGATGTGACTTCTTATATACAGCTTTTATTCTGGGTGTAGCAGAATCGCGAGTTGGGCGAGTTGGCGGATGTTCATCGTGGAATACTTACAGCGCAACGAGTTAGATACGGTCAGAGAAGGGACACAGCGCCGTGTCACTTTTCTGTTTGTATCTAACCCGTTGCGCTGTAAAATATTCTACGATTTTTCTGGGTGATCTGACCCTCTATATTAGCCAGTTACACGGGGCCCTTTCGATAAGAATCTGCATCGAAATTAATCGTGATTGTCTCTATTACGACATTATTAAGCTATACTTACGGGAAGGAAGCAATCGAGATGGAGGACTTGAATCTTTATACAGGTCAACAAATATATTGATACGCAGGTGCGGGCACGGGGAGCGGGAGGTACTGCCCTGCAAAATTTTCACCTGTCATCCCCACCTCCACCCTTATTGCTTCCCCAATAGTAAAACATAGTAAGCATAGTAATCTTCAACCCTTGTTCCGCCTTTCAGTCGCCTCAGGCAATTACGTTAAGGACTTTGAGACTTTCGCGCCTTTTTTTTCAGATAAAACATCTCCTTTAAATACGCCCTATTGCCCAACGAAGCCCACGGCCGGGGAACTTCTGCGCTTGGCAATACACGTGACTGTGAGTTGACCGACCAATACACCGCGACGAAATTGAGCGACTAACCGGACCACGCTCAGAACCGCAACCTCCACGGTAGTGAGGCTGAGAACGGTGTACCGGTTCATGTTGAACCTGGTGGCACAACTCCGAGCCGAGCGGAGGGCGTCGAAGCACTCGTCCCAGATATGGGCAACGTCCCGCCGCGCAGACTGCATGCTCATTTTGCCGAGGACGAGCGGGCACAGAAAGAACGCGAGGAGTCGCCCACTCCGAGGAGCCCAGTTGCGGGACAAGACCAACCGGCGCTCCAGGAATCACTCCAGGTGAGTATGAACAGGAATGATTGCACACCGATGGCATAAGCGTGCGCAGGGCTCACCGTTCATTAAGGAGGCCAAATTTCACAGCACCCCTCCCCTCCCTTGTTAGTCGAGTCCGAAAGAAAATGACCTTCGGACTGTGCCTATCCTGTTGGCATCTGTATGATTAGCGTCAGGTGAAAGACAAATGTTGTAGGGTTACTGGAGATACTGTAGAATGTGTAGATACAGGTACTAGAGATACTGGAGATACAAAAAGTCTAGAAATACTGTATATGCTACCTAAAGGTAGCATATACAGTATTTACAAAGTGTTGTGGATTAGGTGAGCTCGTTCGACGTACTCGAACTGGTACAGCGCATTACAGTAAAGAAGAAATGGCTGAGCAGGCCAACACAAGAGAACAGAGTGCCATGTCGCTCTGCACAAAAGATATCGAGTAAAAAGGGTGTCTTTTTGTCCCACAACAATAATCGTCATCAGGCTTGCGTGCGCTTCCTTTCATGAAAACTCGGCGCTGGCCACTTTCCTATCGAGAACGCAATGTAACCCTGATAATGGGCATGTCGATCGTTACCGGAATGTACAGGGCGCGGGGCGATAGCACAAGGATGGAACGCAATATAGATGACGATTATTGTTGTGGGACAAAAAGACACCCTTTTTACTCGCTCTTTTTATAGAGTGTGTCCTCTTATGTGGGTCTGCTCGTCTATTTCTTCTTTACCGAAATGAACTGAGGGGTGGTTCCAGCCACTCATTTTAAGGTAGGGGGGGGGGGGGCGACCGCCTGAAGTAACATAAATAAAGGGGGGTGGGCATGGTCATGACCTTTTGTTTTTACTAGCATAAATATCCTTTATAGTATGATTCTGTTAATGTGCGCTAACAGTGCTTTCACTAATATGTCCTAATTGATGACGAGAGGCGGACTACAAGCGCTGAAGTGAAAATGGGGTGCCGACACAGACTTAAGAAGGGGGGGGGGGGGGCGATCGACCTTGCCGTCCACCACTCTGGATCCGCCACTGAATGCGCTATGCAAGCTCAAGTCTGGGGGGAAGCGGAATCTATTGCATGTGAAAAGAGGCAGGCAGACGTCGAAGCTAAGAGTCCACGAATTGTGTCATCAGAAACCATTTATATACAGACGCCAACAGGGACAGGTCAATCATGTGCTTGACGTGTTAACACCGTCTTCTTATGTTCTGATTCTTCCGGCACATATTACCGTGCTGCACAGTGTTGTAGCCAGGGGTTGGCTCACTGTGCACGTGTCTCTACCGATATATTTTTTTCTGCCATAGCATACCGAGCGCGAAACGACGTGTGACCTCACTTGCCGGCCCAGCCCTACTTCAAAGTAAGGGCCATTCCACTCGCTTCCCGCACAGCCGCAACGGAAGTGCTGGGACCCCTACAACACGCAAGTGGGAGACAAATAAGCCAATTGGCGACGCCTTTTCACCCTCCACAGCGTCCCAATTGGCTTATTTGTCCCCAACTTGCGTGCGGTAGGGGTGCCGGCACGTGCGTTGCGGCTGTGCGGGAAGCGCGTGGAACGGCCCTAAAGGCCTGGCCACACGTGTCCGTCGCAGTGCGTCATCGCGTGGCTTTCTTTACGCGACTCCACACCCTTTCTTACGGAGAGAAAGGGTGCGTAGGGCGCGTCAAAACGACACGTGCTGACGCGCTGTGACGGATACGTGTGGTCAGGCCTTTAGGAAGTGCCCCCGCTGAAACAAACTTGTGCCAACACACAGAAAAAAAATGGACAAGAGACGATGACGTGCTTGCCCCGAAGGCGGCCATTGGTTCCCCGTTTTCCGAGGCAGAAGTGAAAAGTTAGGATTTATATGAATGCATCATTAGAAGTCCTAGGTCGTCATAGTAAAAGAAAACAGAAAACATGCGTAGACATAACTCTGAGCATTAAAAGATGACGTAAGGTGTGCATTAGTAAAGGTATGCGGCACTGTGGCAGGGTAGGGGCCTTAGGAAGTGCACCCCCACCCTCCATACGTATATCTATGCTGATAGCAGTATGCACAGAGGAAGGGGGGGGCAAGGAGGGCAGTCAAAATATGTGTGGCGATGGCTACAAAAACGCCCAAACCAGAAAAACAATAAATTGAAAATTGCTCTAGTTATAGTGAACTCAAGCTGTGGTTTACGCCACCTACGGTTCTAAGTATACTTAGTAAAAAAAAGCTTTATAGCACTCACAAATTTTATCTAAGGGACTAAGAAGTGTGTGACAACATCCTTGCAACAGAATCCAAAGTTGGGCTAGTTGGATATGCATGGTATAAGTGTCAGTTATACCATGCATAGCGCTTGTCCTCTCTTCTTTTATGTTTATTTGTGTGCTTGAACTGACAGTTATACCATGAACATTCTTTCCACAAGCTTGCCTTCAAATATTGTCATCTTTTTTTACACTTCGTTGATTCCAAAAGGACAGAAAACAATGAAATAGTTTTTTAGGTGGTCTATGCAGGCACGCTTCTTGCAGATAAGACAGGTGCAATATATTTTACATGCGTGTAGGGGGGGGGGGGGCAAAACAGTTTTAAGCGGATGGGTCAGCATTTTTTCCCTTGTCTCCCGCAAAAATTTTTATTTGTTGCGAACAAAAATGAAATAATGGAGATAAAATCAAAGCTTATTTCCTTTCGCACTCGACCATTGTATGTGGATGAGCAAGGTGCTCCTCCTGGCAGCGCAGTAACAGACTGCAATTAACAGTGAAATAATTTGAAAAATTATTTCGGTAACTCGTACTCCCGACGCGCCCTTACACAATTTAGTGTTAAACCAAACTCGTGACATGAAATTCTTGACTTGCGTGTTTTGGCCCCAAATTGAGTTTCAAAGTGCTACAAAATCGGCCACGTACGAGCAGCCAAGTTCATCGGGCATCGCAGGAACACTTTGAAATGTCTGGATTCATTTCCAACCTGCACTGGCTGACTATTTCGTTCCCGTTGAGTATTTCTAGAGGACGGCAAAAGCCACGTAAACTAGCCGACAAAACGGACTTATGAAATGTCCCGATCGGACGAGATCGCCCAGCCCAACTTTGACAAAAGTTTTGCTCAGTCGTCCTCATTCACCGGCGTTCTGTTCACACAAATACGAATGAGGCCCTCGTATCGCCATGTTACGTTCTCGTTCGTGCGTATTAATGTTCCAAAAGACTTCATGACTGTTTAATTATGCGACGAATGCAGCCTACGAAAGCGGCCAGCCCGGAGAGTGCAAAGCACGGACACTCCAAAAGGCACCACAGACGTCATCGCAAGAAGTCGAAGGCACCGGTGGCGCCGCCTGCGGCCGCCGTAGGCAGCGAGCCCGACACTGCTTGTTTATCCTCGGGAACAATGTGTTGTACGTAGCTTAAATGCAGTGTCTTCAAATAGAAGTCTCACAAATTTCTAGCCCAGTTAAACAAACTTGGTTGATAGTAGTTGGGGGGAGTGGGGGGGGAGGGGGTATATTGAAGTTCTCCGCCCATTCTGTACCATCCTCTGGCTGCACATATAATGCTCATACATTTTTCTGCGGGTGCTCTAGAGCAAGGAGTGGTTATCTGATGAGATATTTTTTTTTTCTTTGCCACGGCTGCAGTATTCCAACGCACTAAAAGACACCGCAATAGATATAGCATCTGGTCAATGTGGGCAGCAAATAGATATTTTCCAAGCATGCTAAGCATTCACTTCACCTGAGCGTAAGTAAAGACGCTTTCCGGGTTTAGGCTCACCGAAGCACATTATGAGTTTACGTTGACTCGTTGAATTTTATTCTGACAAACAGCATAGGTAAGTTGCAAAAGATGGCTTCACCATAATACAAAACACCGAGTGCAACTTGAAAGGAACTTAGATTAAAATATAACGAGAACCTGTGGTGCAGTTCGCCAAATGGCTTCCCCAATTTCAGAGACTACACTTATGAAAGGAGAATTAGCCGACTCTTTTATATATTTGGTCTGCATGCTTGTTTACGCTAAGCTGTACTTCAGATGTCTGGCTCGTCTGCTTAAAAAAAATAGAATGTGCTTGGCAATCTCAATATCAGCGTGCCGTGGAATAACAACACTGCGTGTCTCATTGTTGCCGCGGCGCCAACACTTGTGAAAATTTTTCTGTCCATATGAATCACGTTATGACGATTGTTCAGCGACAGTAGGATTTGCAACTAGTCTATAGAGACGTACCCATTACTTAAATTTTAGGGGGATGACAACATCCATGTGGGAACAGATTACCAGCACAGCTGTATTCGTGTGTTTGCTGTACACGCCTGTCCGCTCATTTTGCCGGCGTGAGCGACTGCAGATGTTGACGATCGTCCTCGGACATCGCAGGCCTTTTCAACCCGTGATGTCTTTTCAACGCACGATGCCTTTTCAACGCACGAGGCCTTTTCAACGCACGGTTCCGCTTGCGCTGACTGCATCCGCGTTGTTGCTGTCGATGCCTCTTTGCTATTTGTAACTTGTCATGTTGGCGTGAACGCATGCACTGCACCGTCTCGGCTATGGTATATCTCGGCGTCTCGCAATCTTCAGTTTGTCGAGGTGCCGTCACGGTGTCATTGCGTCACACCGCATCAGCGCCACTTCTCGATGCCGAGGCTAGCGCTGCAGCATTGGCGCATTTCCTCGAGTGGCGCCTTCATATATATATTTTTTTGCCTGTGCATATTGTCAACATTCGGGCGCAATGCTCTTCCTGGGAATGCATTGGCTTACAGACGTACTGAAACAAAAATTATCAGTTGTATTTTTATTTTGAGTGAAATGAAATACCAATATCCTAGAAAATTACCAAAAAACGTGAGCGACCTGAAAAATTTCTTTACATGTCCTTAAAAGCTAATTTCAGTTCCTATATCGTACCCTGACGTCACAAAACGGTATGAGCTTCTGGTCACGTGTTCGCTTAAGATATCGTGACGTTTCCGCGACCACTCCACTGCGTGACTCCGTTGTTGA